AGGCATGGTGCAGGAGCCCCAGCCCAGAAGGTGGGGGGGTGGGGGTGCCACAGGCTTCCTCTCCTCCTCCCTCCAGCTCATGCCAGAGCTGGACTTGTTCCACCGCCACCTGCACAAGTCAGAGCCATCACAGCCACTGTGTTCCAGTCCAGTTGGGATGGGGGCAGCTGGAGGCCCCCTCTGGCAGGGCTAGGGGGAGCAGGGGGGCTGAGAGTGAGGGGCACCAGCATAGCTTGGGGGGGGGAGGGGGGAGGGAATGTGGGGTGGGAGTGAGGGGCACTGGCAGGGCCAGGGGTCTGTGGGTTAGGAGTGGGGGCAGCAGCAGAGATGCAGGGCTTCAGGTTTGGAGTGAGGGACCCTGGAAGGGTCAGGGGGACTATGGGTGGGGAGTGAGGTGTCCCACCCCAACAGGTGTCCTCTTTTTTGGAACTGGAAATATGGTAACCGTAATATATATACAAGGAGCAGGTTGATGGATTAAAAAGCAATTCTTTTTTATACCATCATGTTTTAGAACAGACGGATGGTTTCAGGCTACAAAGAATTGCCAGATTCTGAGTGGCCACATATCTCATAACTGGGTCCCTCTGGAGAACACTAATCACCCTCTAAGTGGTATTACCTTGCATGTAGTAGTATGTTAGTATATGTATTTGGGATAGCTCAAATCCTCCTAATAGTAAAGTACAGTATTTTCAAATGGGCATGGATGTTGAAAGATGGATGATGAACAGCGGGCTGAGAGATGGGCATTCTGAGCCACTTAATTTATCAGAAAGTAATTAAAATAATTGCTACAGTTTCACATAGGTGCACTTAAATCATTATAGAATTGACCCAAACCATACTGAAGCCAAGGAAAATCTTTCCACAAGTGGCATGTTCCTATTGACAGCTTCTTAACATTTTATCTGTTTGCTAGAACAGTAACTTTCAATTTTATGTCAGGTGTTCAGAAGCATAGATTAAAACAGTAACAAGGTAGCACTTACCTGAAAACATCATCATGTGTTGAAAGTTCCTGGGAATCTTTTGTTTCCGACCCAAATTCAGAATGAAAGAGAGTGGATATATGTTGCAAGCTCTTGCTATAAAAATTGCCACCTACAATATAGGAAGCTAAGGAAAATGGGGGGTGGGGAACATGGACAAAAATGAGCTAACTTTAAATATCCCTGACTCTATCTGGAAGCAAAATTAAAATGATCCCAATATTAACCATTTAAGAATTTAAACACTGCCTCCCCAATTCTTTCATTAGGGAAGTGAACCATGCACAATTTATCCCAGACATCCTAGTTTTGCTCAAACATCCTAAGTTTGAACTCCTTTTCCTACATACCACTCCATTCACTCCCCATTTACTTATCACATTTGTATCACACATGACTACATCTTCAGCCTGTACATAAAAAGTCCCTTAAATTGTGGCAGTGGCATTATTTCCTTAAGCAACAATTTGGGTAGGATAAACATCCTTTTGGATATAGCTTCATTTTTCTTAACAATTCATGTTGTTTGTGTTTGGCACTCTCCACTTCTTTCCTGTTTCTATCGTATGTTTCAGGAAAGATTTTGCTTCTCTTATTAACCCCCCTCCCCATCCAATACAGGAACTGCCTTAATTAGAAAAAAATCAGGATATTTTGGACACAAGAAGATATAACATAAGTCTTTATAGAAACCTTCCTTTTAGCATGTTCCTTCCTATTCTTGTTTTATGACTGCCGAGGTGAAGTTACTGGTCCCTGAGCCTTGACTGAGAAAAGTCAAGGTCCCTGCCCTGCTCTGACAGGCAAAATTGTATCTAGGGTGTTAAGTCTTGCTGTCAGCTCTAGCAGCCCTGCACTGCTTGATGTGGAGGCAGGAATATTACATCTACCTTTGTGTAGTTATCACCCCTTTCTTCCCTCAAAAACAAGCTTGCACGAGGGGAAGCCATAATCTGGATCTATTTATTTTGGAATTGCATGTAAACATGACTGCTGGCTTTCTTCATTGAATATGGATCCTTATTTGTGAAAAGAGTGGAATTCACTAAAAAAGGATAAGCAAAGGACCATTCTTCTGTGAGAGCGAGGAAAACAAAGAGAGATGTATGGAGTCTCCAAATATGAAAACTATCAGTGACACCAAGCCAATACACGGTAGCAACTATTGAGGACACACAGAAGAACTAAGGGCAAAACCTCCATTTTTCTTTGTCTCTATGACCCCCTTTACACATTATACTTAAGGCATGATTAACCAGGTAATCATGCTTTAAGCCGTGACCCAGCTACACATTCAATCAATTAATAGCATCATAAAACAAGCAGCAACAAAAAATGTGAAGCGACTTTGTAGCTTGTTCTAATCACACCATTAATTGAACGTGTGGCCGAGCAATCCCCTGTGGCTGGGAGCACCATCAACTGAGGGGCTCCCAGCTACAGGCATGTACCACCTGTTGCCAGCCCCACAGCTGACAAGGCCTGCAGTGGTGGCCGTGTAGTCAGATGCAGGGCTTGCAGCTGAGAGAACGCTGCCCCTCCATGAGCCTCAGAAGGTGCAGAGCTCACAGTGGGGGCATCACTGGGGGTGCTGCCACCCCCGAGAGCCTCCTTGGCTGCAAGGCTCACAGTGAGGGCAGCGCTGTCAGCTGCAGGGCTTGCAGTTGCGAAAATGCTGCCACTGCTGGAAGCCTTATGAGGTGTGGGGCTTGCAGCAGCAGAGTTCCCTGTGTTGACTCAAATGCAAACCCCACACCTCAAGAAGCTCGCAACAGGGGCAGGAGCAGTGCTGCTGTTGCTGTGAGCCCCACACCTCAGGAAGCTTGTAGCAGGGGCAGTGTTCCCAGTGCTGCCCCTGCTGCAAACCCCACTGAGCCCTGTTAATTGTGATCCCAGGCTCCCCCTGCCCTGGTGATGAGGTGTGATGGGATCTAATGCTGATCCATACAGTTACGCTTTTTACCATGGCACATGTTCATGGCAGGAAGTGCAACTGTGCGACTGTGCATTACGGTTGCGCGAAGCTTCGGGTGTTTATTCAATTTGGAGGAGATTTGGCCCTATTCGGTGGCTGAATCTCTGAATCTGAATCTGAATCGAATCAGGAGACCAATTAAAAGGTCCAAATCAATTCAAAGCTCCCCAAATTGATTCAGAAAAGATTTGGAGAGCTTTGGCGATTTGGGTAGTCCCTGCTCACTGCAGCAGGGAGCTGCACCCGAACTGCACAGTGGTAAGTAGGGGGTGGGGGAGGGGGGCCTGGAGGAGGGAAAAGGAGACCATGGGGGGACCTC